AGATACGGACCTAGATTAATTCTTCTGCATATGGATAGTCAGTTTTCTCAGTACAGTTTTTCAAACAGCTGTCATGTCTCCAGCATATAATTTTGGACACTGTGGAAAATCAGATGACCAAAAGTGACTGGAGTTGTTTGTGCACATGCCATTCTGTAGTACTAATCAACATATCTGTTTTTGTGCCAGTACCATATGGTTTTTCTGCGTATAGCTAATATAACTTGAAATCCAGGGCGGTAATACCTCATGCTTTGCTCTTGCTCCCCAGGATTGCTTTTGTTATTCAAGGACTCTTCAGGTTCCATATAAATTTTACAGTTGTATTTTCTAGTCGTGTGAAGAATGCTATTGGTAGTTTGGTGTTACACGAAATCCATACATATGTTTTAGTAGTACAGTATGGCCACTTTGACAATGGGAATGTCTTCCCATTTTCTGATGTCCCCTTTAATCTCTTTTTTCAGAGCTGTCTAATTTCCATTATAAAGGCCTTTCATTTGCTTGGTTAGGTTCATTCCAATTTATTTTTGAAGTTATTGTGAAAAGGAGTGTTTTCCTGATGTATTTGTCAGCGGATTCATTGCTGATATGCAAAATCAGTGTTCATTATTGTGCATTGATTTTACATACTAATATTTTGCTGAATTTCTTAGTTCTAGGAGTCTTTCGGTGGAGCTTTTTGGGTCTTCTATGTAAAGGATCATATCATGTATGAATAAGGAGAGTGACTTCTTCCTTTCATGTCCAAATCCCTTTTATTTCTTTCTCTTGCTTGAATGTTCTGGCTAAAGTTTGGAGAGCTGTATTGGACGGGAGAGATGAGAATGGTCTCTCTTCTCTTGTTCCTGATTTTGGAGAAAATGTTTTGTTTATCCTCATTTGGTGTGCTGTTGGAAATGGATTTGTGATAAATTATTTTTATCATTTTGAGATAAGGTTTTCTATACTTTATTTGAATTTTTATCATTAGTGGATTAAATTTTATCAAATTATTTTTTTGCATCTGTTGGTGATCAAACAATTTTTGTCTTTACTTCTATTTATGTGGTGTATTACATCTACTGATTTGTGTATGTTAAATCATCCTTGCAACACTGAGATTAAGCCAATTTGGTCATGATATGTGATCTTTTTATGACTTGTTGCATTCTTTTTGCCAATATCTTCTTGAGTATACTGCACCAAAGAGCCTACAGGAAAGTATACATCTAAGTGAGACAGTAATAAACAAAGTCATGTATTGCCTATGGCAGACATACCTCATCCAAAAGGAAGTTCATAGGATAAAAGTAAAACAATGGAAAATGATACTCCATGCACTTGGAGCCTGAAAGTAAGCAGGAGCAGCTATCTTATTTTCAGACACAGGAGAACTCAAGCCAAAACCGACCAAAAGAGACAAATGTGGATATTGCATACTATGAAGGAAAAATTCATCAGGAAGAAATAATGATTTATGCACCAAATTTTGGCACACTAAACAACGTTAAAACAAATATCACTGGACATACAAGGAAAGATAGACACTTAAACATCACTGTGCTGAACTACAGTACCCTATTTTTGCAAACAGATAGGTCTACTAGACAAAAAAAATCAACATAAACTATCAGAGTTAAACCATATGATAGAACAAATGAACTAAAATAGACAGTTATACAGAATGTTTCATCCAACAACAACAGAAGACACATTTTTTTCAGCAGCACTTAGAACTGTTTCCAAAATAGTATCTTAGGCTACAAAACATGCTTAAATAACTACAAAAATTTTAAATAATCCCTTGCATATTATCTGGTCATAGAGGAATGAAAATAGAAATCGACATTCAAAGAAACCACAAAAAGTGTGCAAACACATGGAGATTAAATAATACATTATTGAAAAATCAATGAATCACAGGAGAAATTATAAAGATTTTAGAATCAAATGACAGTGGAAAGAGAACATAGCAAGACCTGTGAGACTTAATGAAAGCAATCATAACGGGGTAGAAAATACTGTTATTCTTGTTTGTATATCTCAATAATAGTTTAATCAGGAAGACTACTACTAATATCTTGATAAACTTGAGTTACAATGCTTAGCTGACATATGCAGTGCTTAATAAGCTTTTATGTACACTTCTGTTTCATTTTGTGTTCGAAAACTTAATGCAAAGTGTTCTATATTGTTATGTCTCTAGGGCAAAAATGTTTGCATTTTGCTTTTCTGGTTTTTCTTTTGACTCTAGTTTTCTGCTTTTTAAAGGTTGTGTTATTTGCCTTTCTCTTTTCCAACACATTTTATACAGTTTAACATGTTTTTAAAGTAAGGTCCTGTTGAATATCCATTCCTCACTTGACAGCAGAAAAGCAAAAGGAAAATTGTCAAGGGACTAGAAGCAAAACGCTTTTCGTTCCATGGCCTACTAGTACAGGAAAATATAGAAAGCTATAATTCTTATCGTTTTTGTTTGTCCATTTGCTAGAATGTTAAGGCTTTAATGAAGCTTTTAAAAAATTAAACATATTCTATTCCATGTCCACAGATCATACCACAACATGAGCCAAATGTGTTGTAATGCTTTCCCAGTTTGAGGAAAACTTGTGTGACTGAATCAGCTAAAAGAAATTTAAAAACCAAAATGCTTCACTACTGTTAATCAAAATACACACACAAAAAAATCCCAGAAATTATTCATATCATTTTCAAAGTTTAGGGAGAATGCATTGTAAATATCTAACCTTTTTGATAGGTATGAAACCATTTGGCAGAGCAAAATTTTACACACGTTTATGGGCATGTGAGTGTGTGTTTGTGTGTGCGTGAAATTTTCACATATAATACATTTTTTACATTTTCCCCTTTTTTTCAGTAGTGATCAGATCAGATAGTTGAATGTGCCTGGCGTTGCTTCTGCATTCTCAGTTTTGTTCCATTGACCCATATGTCTGTATTTGTGCTGGTACCATGTGAGTTTTAATCACTGTAGGTTGTAATATAACTTGAAATCCATGATTGTGATGCCTCCTACTTTGCTGTTGTTATTCAGAACTCCTTTTGAAATTCTGGGTCCTTTCTGTTTCCATATAAATTTTAGGATTTTTTTCTCTAGTTCTGTGAGAAATGTGTTAAATCTGTATATCAGTTTCTCAAGTACGGCCAGTTTGACTATATCGGTTCAACTGATACAGGAACGTTGGATAGCTCTCCAATTTCTGATGTGTTCTTCTAGCTCCTTCTTTTTTTTTTCCAGCTTTAATTGAGTTTATTGGTACATTTTAGGGATACAGTACAGTTACATTCATTGTTGGGATCTTGTACCTCTACATGACAAGTCTTGATTCTCATTTTTTCCCCTTACCTCTGCCCTCCCTTCACCCCCTCCTCCCCTCCCCATCTACGAACACTTTATTTTCATCTTTTCGTTATCTCACATTTTTTCTTTTCCCTTTTTACTCTTCCCCTACCCATCCCACCTTCCCCACACCTTTAGCTCCTTTCTTCCCATTTCTAAATGTCAGTAATCTTATTAGGATCTTATGTATTGTTGAAGATTATTCACACCAGGGAAAATATTCAGTATTTACACATGTGTGACTTATTTATTTCACTTAAGAGTATATCTTCAATATGTATCCATTTTCCTATGAATGAATCTATTTTCTCATTCTTTATGGCTGAGTAATATTCCATTTTATAGAAAAACCAAATCTTTATCTAGTTTCCAATGGATGGGAAAATGGGCTGTTTCCAAGATTTAGCTATTACAAACTGTGCTGCTATAAACATGGCTGTGCATACTTCTCTGTGATATGATTCTTTTAGTTCTTTTGGAAAGATACCCAACAGAGGGATGGCTGGGTCAGATGGAACCTCCAGTCCAAGCTCTTTGAGGTATCTCCATATTGATTTCCATAGTGGTTGCACCAGTCTGCACTCCCACCAACAATGGAAAAGGGTTCCTTTCTCCCCACAACCCTGCCAACATTTGTTATTGTGTGATTTCTTGATAGCAGCCATTCTTTGTGGGGTGAGGTGGAATTTCAGTGTTGTTTTCATCTGCATCTCTCAAATGATCAGTGATGTGGAAACATTAAACTTGCTGGAAGGTAAGTTTGGCAGAACTCTAGAAGACATTGGTGTAGGAAAAGACTTTATGAACAAATCCTCAGTAGCACGGGAACTAGCAGAAAGAATCAACAACTGGGATCTCATCTTATTAAAAAGCTTTTGTACTTCAAAAGAAACCATCAGCAGAGTGAAGAGATAATCTACAATGTGGGAAAAAAATTTTACCAGCTGTTCCTCAGACAAAGGACTATGATCAAGGATATATAAAGAACTCAAAACAATCAACCCCCACCAAATATAAAGACCCGATTCAAAAATGGGCTTTCTTAACGAACAGACATTTCTCAGACAAAGAAGTAAAAGCAGCAAGTAAATATATGAAAAAAATGTTCTAGCTCCTTCTTCAGAGTACATACTGTAGTTTTTGTTGCAGAGGTCTTTCATTTCCTTAGTTAGGTTAATCCTTAAGTACTCAATTTTTCATACTATTATTGTGAATGGTATTCTTTTCCTAAATTCTTTCTCGGTGAGGTCATCATTCATTTAAAGGAATGCTATTGATTTTTGTGTGTTGACTTTGAATCCTGCTACATTTCATAATTTAGGCTATCAATTCCAGGAGTCTTTTGGTGGAATTGTTTTGCTCTTCTATGTAGAGGATCACGTTATCTGCAAATAATGGTAGTTTGACTTCTTCCTTTCATATACATGTCTTCTTATTTCTTTCTCTTACATAATTGCTCTGGCTAATGTTTCTAGTACTGTATTGAAAATAAGTCACGATACTAGACCTTCTTGTCTTATTCCCGATTTTAAAGTGAAAGCTTTTAATTTTTCTCCATTTACTATGTTGGTAGTAGCATTTTCATAAAGATTGAGATTTACCAGACACCCTTTAAAACTGACCTGATACTTATTAATATTGATGTTATATTATCTAGGCTTACATGGAATACCGGGAGAGAAGGGGGATCCAGGACCTCCTGGATTTGATGTTCCAGGACCTCCTGGTGAAAGGGGCAATCCAGGGATCCCTGGAGCACCTGGTCCTTTGGGACCTCCAGGATCACCAGGGCTCCCAGGAAAAGCAGGTGCCCCTGGATTCCCAGGTAATTTGTTTAATATTTTCTCTCATTTTTGATTTATGCAATTAATATTAATAGGACTCTACTAAATTATTCTCATGTTGCTCTTTTCTGTTAAATAAGATTGTTAAAATATATTTGATTGCAGAAGACTCCTTTCATTGTTTGCAGTATACCTTTTTCTCTGTTGAATTTAATTAAATATTATTATATAATAAATAATCCCAAACTTTAATGTTTAAATGAACATTTTTTATTTTGCTCAAGATTCTACCATCAAGAAATCAAAGGAAGGCTTTACTGCATTGTTTATCTGTAACTCATATAATTCCAACTAAGGTCATTAGGTTTGAAGGCTGTACTTGTTAGATGACACTTCTCTGCCCCTGGGGTCTTCCTTGGCTCACGGCTTCTCATCAACACTGAAGCCTCTTCATGTGGCTTGGGCTCCTCACACCATCATATTATTAAGATAGTTTTTATCCTTCCATGGCAGCTGGCTTCTAAGAGAAAGAATCTCAAAAGCCAAACATGAGTGTTCTGGGAGCCCCAGGTAGAATCTGTAAGACTTCTTATGATCTAGCTTGAGAGTTATACAGTGCCATTTAGTCAAGGATAAAGCAGAGTCGGCCTAGATTCCAGGGGAGGAGGCTACACCGGGATGTGTATATTTGGAAGTATACTTTGTTGGAACCCATCTATGGAGATTAGCTGCCATAATGAACACCTGTATCTCTGGGTATTTGCAATAGTGGCTGCTAAGATTCTGCAATAGTTTTCCAGCTAACATCTTAAAACTTACTTTTTATCTTTCTAATGTCAAAAGTGGCAAATATTATTTGTTGATCTTCTTCAAAGGTGCCAAAGGTGAAATGGGTATGATGGGACCTCCAGGCCCACCAGGACCTTTAGGAATTCCTGGCAGGAGTGGTGCTCCTGGTCTTAAAGGTAATATTTGGAGTTTGCTGACTGACATGTAGGAGAGAAAAAAGAAATAAATATTGCTTCATATTATGTGGAATGTTTTTATTTACTTTAAAATGAGCAATACTTAGTATTTTGTTTCTATGTGACATGGCGTTTTCAATTTGGTGATCTACTTAGTTTGGATAACAAGAAACATGATAAATGCTTACCTCAAATGTATAAAGACTAAACTTATTTGTTTTTTGGTCTGTCAAAGAATTCCAGAAGGAAGAGAGATTTTTATTTGAGTTTTAAAATGTGTATGCACTCAAGTAATTCATGGACAATGACTTAAATTACATATACGTTTTGGGGGGCTACTACCCATCCAACTGTCAATTATATAATCTTTATACATATTAATTGTGGAGAGATATATTTAATGTACTGTGTCTTCCCCACACATGTTGATTTTAGGCAATGATGGCTTACAGGGTCAGCCAGGACTTCCTGGCCCTGCAGGAGAAAAAGGTGGTAAGGGAGAACCTGGCCTTCCAGGCCCCCCTGGACCAGTGGATCCAAATCTCCTAGGCTCAAAAGGAGAAAAGGGAGAACCTGGCTTACCAGGTGAGTGAATGTAATCATGTATTTGTAAATACTTTTTTTCCAGTATGTCTAAATTTTTTTGTTTTCTCTTTTGTTGTTGAAAATTGAACCTATAGGAGTATTCATACTAAGCACTGAACTACACACCAGCTCCAACGTTTAATTTTTAAATAATATAAAAATTAACTTGTACTGCAGAATTTATGAACAAAAGGTACTTAGGTGCATGAAATTTTGGTAATGAGTAATAATTTTCACTTGATTCGTATTGTTGCACTGATTATATTTTGAGTATTTTTTTGTAGTTTACTTATTGAGCTTGGGGCTTTTGAAAACAGACTTACTCAGTCTCCTTCAAGCCATTCAGAAAGGAATACATGAGATAGTAGAGAGACAAGGATATATAGCCACAATCACTTGAAAAATAGATTTCATTGCCTAGGAAATGTGCTAGCCCTTTTCATTATTTTCCCCTTGAAACAAGTTTTGGATGATGGGTACCTTGTTGTACTGCAGTGTTCTAATATCCCTATAATACTTGCCGTTTAAATAGTTCACTGTTACCGTACTTTGGCAGAATAAAAATGCATTGGACTATGAGTAGCCTCATGCAGCACTGGAGGAAGTCCTGAAATTATGTCTAAGAAACAACTATGTTATTATAGTTTTTTTTATTATAATCAAATAAGGCGTGGAATATATGGGATTTTTTTAACTTTAAAAAATCCTTTTTTCCATAGAAGTGTCATGTGTTACAATGAAGCATCAAAATATAGGTAAACATAAATTAGTGTGCAGAGCACTTACAGAAAATAGATTTTCCCAGTACCAGGACCTTGCATTTGCAAGGCAGGTGCATTGCCAATGAGCTAAATCCTAGCCCCAGAAAATTGTTTTTAAAAAGCACTTACAACCAAAACTATATAGAATAGTCTTTCAAACAAAAATGAACTTTACTAGTCATGCTTATTTGCAGTTTGTAATAAATTTGTAACTTTTTATGTTCTATTAATATTGTCAGTTGTATACATGTGAGTATGTTTATGCACGCAGATGTTTTGTATCTCAGTGAACAAGACTTGATAATATTTTTCCTAAAAAATTGAAATATTGCAGTTTTGTGCAGTCACAAAAGAAGCTAATTTTTTATTATAGCTAAAATGGGGTATATTCCTTGCCTTATCCCTTACAAGTCATCTTTTCTCTTTCAGCTATGCTTTCTGCATAGTAGGGCAGTAAAGTACACTTGTCTGTGCTGTAGCTCTATTAAAGAAAGTCATAGAATTTAAAGAAAAGCCTAGAAATTTTTCGTTATGTGATACTGAGGCCCAAAGAAGAAAGTGACTTCATTAAGTACTCTGTATTTCTTGGTAGTAGGTAAATAAAAAGTTAACAAGTTTTAGTACAAATCCAAGACTAACCTTTTGTACTATATCATCATACCACCAATTCCTGTATTTCATATATAGTTCAATACTTGGGTAGCTTGTTTGGGAGGTTCACTTAATGGATTAACAGTAGTCTGACTTGTCTCTCCTACTCATCCTTGGAAGGTATTCCTGGAATTTCAGGACCAAAAGGCTATCAGGGTTTACCTGGAGACCCAGGGCAACCTGGACTGAGTGGACAACCTGGATTACCAGGACTACCAGGTAGGTAAAATAAACCTCTTGTGGCTTTTGGATAGCTGACGCTGAACTCTGGAAAAGTAATTATGTATTTTTCTTGTTTGATGATGCTTTGAATTTGGTCATGGTGATATGCTTGGGTTGAAACTTCCTCTTTGACAGAAATGTTGCCATTTAGCCAAAGTTTCAACAGACAATATTTCTGAGGTATTTTTCTTTATTCAGTTAATTCTTTTTTTGTGATATCAAGGTATACCCAGAAGTATGATTCAAATTATGTTCTTTGTTTTATTACATATTGCAATATATATAAATAAGACTATTACCTGATAGAAGTCTGAAAAATTTTTCTTTTTCCAGCTTTTTTTTCATACAGACAAGTCAGTTATTAATCCATGTAATAACGTATAGTGGTCAATTCTATTTTTAAAAATTTCTAGAGATAAAAACTCACAACATCCCTGTGTAGTCTTTTATAGCATGAATCAACTTTACAATGAACAATTTTTTTTTATTATTCCACATTAACTGCTTCTTAAGCCATTTGCTTTCAGTTTGACTCATAAGGAAATAAGGACAGCTTGACCTCATCCTTCTGAAAGCCCCAAAGTTCAAGCATTTGCTTTTACATACCATAATATCTTTTGAGATAAATTCTCCCATTATTTCTCCCTTACATTTTTGGCATTTTCCTCCCCAGTTTAGAAGTCATTGTGAAAGACAAAATGTTTAAGGTATGGTTCTTGAAAGACTTCTACATGACACCACAGAACTCAGGCACAGATGCTCCAAGGAGAATTTGCAGAGTAGTCATTACCAGGCAGGCATGACTGCCCAGTACCTTTATATCAACATTTTTCTCTCTCTGGCCTATTGAAACTAGGGTTATATCATGACAGGTTCCTATCTTTGCTCTTCCTGGTGTTATGTAATCAGGCTCTACATGAAAACGCTATTTCTGAATCTTTATAAACTTACTTAACAGTAAGGACAGTTACACATCTGCAAAAGATAACACCTCCGATGATTTGAATTGTTTTAGGGGAAGAAAGGTGTCTTGGTAAATTTTTTTCTTATTTTAATAAAGTTGTACTATGAGACCTGTATTACCATAGTTATATTGCAAAGGGCTCCCAAGGAGATTTCTTAGGTATCTTTTGCTTATTTTATGCTAAGTTATATCTGTGCACTTTAATCATATATTAAGATTTAATTCATCCAATTCTATGCTGGTACTTATTTTAATTGTACCAATTTGACTTATCTAGGTCCCAAGGGTAACCCTGGTCTCCCTGGCCAGCCAGGACTTATAGGACTTCCTGGACTTAAAGGAAACATAGGTCATATGGGTTTTCCAGGTGAGTGATGAAAAGTTCCTAAATATTAGTACCATTAAGGGCCTTTTTATTAGAATAATGACTTGTATGGAGCCTGGAAATGTAAATCAGTGGTAAAGTACTTGCCTAGTAAATATGAAGTCTTAGGTCTGAAACTCAGCACTACAAGGAAAGACAGGCAGACAAGTGCTGATAGAATCAGAATGAGACAATATTTAAGATACTCAGCGAGTAGAAATTTTGTTACAAAAATATTTGAAGTGGGTTTTATTGGACAGAGGTTTAGAAACTTTAAAAGTTGGAATTCAAACATATCTATCTGTTCTCCAGCTGTATCCTTTTCATTTAAACATCTTAAAGTTAGCTTTTACATTGTGAAGCTCACAACTCAGTTGCTGAGTTGTGATTTTTAAAAAACCTTTTAGTTTGTTCATATATGTCTTAGATATGCCAAAAGTAGAAATTTATTTTTGTGATACCAAGTATTGAACCTAGTGACTCTGCACAAGTCTAGCCGCACCCCTTTATCTTTTATTTTGAGTCAGGGCTTCACTATATTGCTAACCTGCCCAAGCTGGACTCAAACTTTTGATCCTTTTGGCTCAACTGCCCAAAGTGCTAGGATTACAGGCATGTACCACCAGTTGCAGATCAGAATACTTGGAATTTCTCTTGCTTTTCAACAGTGCCAAGGATCAAACCCAGGGCCTTGCACATGGTGGAATGCTAGGCAAATGTTCTATCATTAAGCTACATTCCAAGCCTAAGAGTATTTTGTGAAATATTTCAACAGGTCCTCAGGGTGTGGAAGGACTCCCCGGACCTCCTGGAGTTCCTGGACAACCTGGCTCCCCCGGGTTACCGGGACAGAAAGGAGATAAAGGTGATCCGGGTGTTTCAGGCATTGGTCTTCCAGGTCTTACTGGCCCAAAGGTAATCACACTCTAATTATATGCCTCAGTAATTGTGATTTTTATTTAATACTGTGTTTATTCCTAATTCTTCTGTAAACAAACTATGGAACGAAATGGTGTAGTCTAGGTAAGAGATTTGTTCTTTCTCTTATGAAAGATATGTCTTAAAGTTTGGGTGAAGTCAAAAAATTGAAAAAAAAATTCTGGATACTTGGTTTTTCTTCTACCCTAATCTCTAAGTATATTTCAGTAAATCAAAGATATGTTTTTGCCTGGTTTTGTTTTTCCATTTTTAAAGATAGAGCTGTGAGGTTTTTCCCCTAATACTGTTATTGACTAATATGAATAGATTTACAAAGACGGTAACTTTAGCAATTAATGAAAGTATAGTAGTATTCTTAACTGAGCAACTGATGAAGCTGTCAGAATTCAGTTTAACATATTCCTTTAAACTCTTAGAGTGAAAACTTCTGAGGCATTTCGCAGGTAATCAAATTTAGAATTTATTTTGAGTCATTGTACTCAACACGAATTTACTGTGTAGTTCCATGAAAAAATGTAACAACTCTCTTAATCATGCAGTCAGACCACAGAGCTAAGGAGTATTAGAAAAAGAAGTGTGATTTTTGGCTTGAATGGAATTAGTTGAAATTCCCATTAAAATAAGAATTTACAGGGCTGGGGATTTAGCCCAGTGGTTCCAGTACCTCTCAAGCTCAAGGTCCTGAGTTCAATCCCCATTACCAGAAGAAAAAAAAAAAGAAAAGAAAAGAAAAAGAAAGGAATTTACTGAATTACATTGTAAAGATAATTTCCTTTTTTAAAAAAATAATTTTATTGGTACATTTAAGGTATACAATATAATGACATTCATCACTGGAAATTTGCACCTTTACATTATTCATCATGGTTCTTATTTTTTCCCAGTTCCCCTGCCCTCCCTTCAACCCCTCCAGTCCTCCCTATCTACAAAGACTTTGTTTCCATTATTTTCTCTTTCTCGTATTAATTCCATTCTCTTCTTTCCTTTCCCCTACCCCTCCCACACTTCCCCTCTGCACCTTTTCTTCCTATTTCACATTATCTATTATACCTTTTAGGCCTTATTTACACTTTGTTTCCTTTTAATAGCATATACAAAACTACAGTTTAATTGTCCAGTTTACTGACACTAGTGTAAGAGATAATCAAGGGAAGTTTCTACATATAAATATCAGTTTAATAATGTAAAGTTTATTGAAATAGCATTTTCAATAACATTTCATAACATTTTCCTGCTATGTTTACGTGTTACCAGTAATATAGTAATGTGCAGTTTTATTAAAAACTAAACCTATAGACATATAAAAAGCAAAAGTGAAAATATCTTTCTTGCCTTTCTTTTCTCACTCCCTTAATTATATCACCCCTCTTGATAGTTTCATAAAGTCGTTGCCTACACCTATGTCTTCAAGAGTTTTACCTATTCTATTGCCAGCAGATTTAGTGTTTCTGTTTTAATATGTAGATCTTTGATCCATTTTGATTTTAGTTTAGTGCATGGTGATGAGATATGGGTCTAGATTTAATCTTTGTCAGGTGCAAAGCCAGCTTTCCCAGCAACATTTACTAGAGACTATCTTTCTTCCAGTGAAGATGTTTGGCTGCTTTGTCAAAGACAAGGTGGATGTTTGTGTATGGAGTTGTTTCTGCATTTTATAATCTGTTATACTGATCCTCAGTCTGTTTTGTTTTGCCGGTATTCATGCTGTTTTTTTTTAACAGTAGCTCTTAGTATAATTTCAAGTCTCAGATTGTCATGCCCTTGCCTTGCCTTTATTCCCCAGAACTACTTTTGCTATTGTAGGTCTCTTCTGGTTCCAAATAAATTGTAGGATTGATTTCTGTAGTCCTGTGAGGTATACTATTGGTATATAGATTGGAATTGTATTAAATCTTTATAATAGTTTTGGAAATATGGCCATTTTCACTGTATTGGTTTTACATTCCCAAGAGCAAGGTATGTCTTTCCATTTTCTGATATCTTCTTTGATATCCTTTTTCAAAGTAGTGTACATTTTATGCAGAAGTCTTTTACTTCCATAGATTGATTGCTAAGTATTTCATTTTTTTATGCTATTGTTAAAGGTGTTATTTCTCTTTCAGTAAGTTTGTTATTTGTGTAGAGGAATGTTGCTGATTTTTGACTGTTGACTTTATATCCAATTATGCTACTGAATTTGCTTGTTAAATCTGGGTGTCTTTTGGTGGAGTTTTTGGTGTCTTCTATGCAGAGTGTAATGTCATCCAAAAATATGATAATTTAGCTTCTTCATTTCATTTACTATCTTTATTCTTTTTATTTCTTTCTCTTGTCTAATTGCTCTGGCTAATGTTTCCAGAAGTATATTGAGCAGTAGTGGTGATAGCAAGGATCCTTGTCTTGCTCCTGAACTTAGAGTGAAACCTTTCAATTTTTGACCATTTAGCATAATGTTGGCTGTTGGTTGGTCATAAGTGGGTTTCATCAGATTGAGATAAAGATATTCTACCCAATTTTCTGTAGTATTTTTATCACAAATAGGTGTTGGACTTCGTAAAAGTCTTTTTCTGCATCTATTGAGATGATCGTGTGGTTTTTGTTCTTGATTCTGTTGATATGGTATATTACATTTATTGATTTTTCTATGTTGAACCATACCTTCATTCCTGCGATGAATCTTATCTGGCCATGGTGTATAATTTTCCTGATGATTTTCTGCATTCTGTTTGCCAATCTCTTATTGAGGATTTTTGTGTGTATATTTATTAAAGAGATTGGCCTGTACTTCTCTTTTTTGGTTGGATCCTTCTCTGGTTTAGGTATTAGGGTAATCCTTACTTTCAGGAATTATTTTGGAAGGAATGCTTCCTTTTCAGTTTCATTTAAAGAGTTTGAGAAGTAGTGGCATTAGATCATCTCTAAATTTCTTATAGAATGCAGCAACAAATCAATCAGGACCTGGGATTTCTTCATTGGCAGTTTTTAAATTACTTCTTCAATTTCAGTGACTGATATTGGGTTATTTAGAATTTTTATAGCTTCTTGCTTCAGCTTTCATAGTTCATATGTATGTAGAAATCTGCCCATTTCTTCTGAATTTTACATCTTATTAGAGTATACTTTCTGGAAGTAGGTACTGATCCTCAGGATTTCTGCAAGATCTGTTGTGATTTCACTGTTTTCATTCCTAATTACATTAACTTGAGCCTTTCATTTCCTTGTTTGAAAAAATTGGCTAGAGATTTGTCTATTTTATTTTCAAAGAACCAACAGGAAATACGACAAAGAATCACCAACTGGGATCTTATCATATTAAAAAGTTTTTGCATGACAGCAGAAAGCAAGAGTGAAGATACAACCCATTGTATAGCAAAATTTTTTTACCAACTTTAACCTCAGGCAAAAGACTAATACCTAGATGAAACTGAAAGAATGGAAAACAATTCTCCACGTGACAGGAGTCCAGAAAAAAGCAGGGGTAGAAATCTTATTCACAGAAAAAGTAAATTTCAACAAAAAACTGATGAAGAGAGACAAAGAAAGTCCACTACATCCTTGTAAAGGGAGCATTTCAAGAGGAAGAGATAACAATCATAAACATATATGCACCAAATATTAATGCACCCAACTATATAAAAAATATTAAGTAATATGAAAAACCAAATAAGCACCGATACAATTGTAGTGGGGGATCTAAGTACCACACTATCACAAATAGACAGATCATCTAGGGAAAAAATCAACAATGAAATACTAGAACTAAACCAAGCTTTTGAACATATGGACTTAATAGACATGTATAGAATGTTCCAACACACAAAATAAGGATATACATTCTTTATGGCTGCACATAGGTCATTCTCCAAGATAGACCAATACTAGTTCATAGAACAGGTTTAAATAAATGCAAAAGAATTGAAGCTACCCTCTGTATATTATCAGATCATAGTGCAATCAAGCTGGGGATCAATAGCATAAGAAACTGTAGGAACTTCACAAACACATGGAAATTGAACAACACTCTCCTGAACAATTAATGGGTGACAGAGGAAATTAAAGGAGAAACTAGACAGTTTTTACAAATAAATGATAAGGCCAATGCAACATACAGGAATATATGGGACACAATGAAAGCTGTTCTATGTGGAAAATTCATAGCACTGAATGCCTACACTAGGGTAACAGAGTGAGCTCAAATAAACAACCTAATGATGAATCTTAGACTACTAGAAAAATAAGGGCAAGAAAAACCCAAAGCTTGAACAATAGAGGAAATTACAAAGATTTGAGCAGAAATCAATGCAATGGAAACTAAGAAAATGATACCAAAACAAAACAAAAAAATGAATCGAAGAGTTGGCTTTTTGAAAGAATAAATAAAATTGATAAACCCTTAGGTAACCTTATCAAAAAAAGGAAAAAAAAGGCTCAGATCCATGCAATTAGGAATGAAAAAGGTGAAGTCACAACAGATCCAACAGAAAGCCAGAGGAGAGTCAATATCTACTTTGAGAACCTGTACTCTAATAAAATGGAAAACACAGAAGAAATGGATACATTTCTACATACTTATGAATTACCAATGTTGAACGAAGAAGATACAAACATTTTAAATACCTCAATTACAATCATTGAAATTGAAAATGTAATTAAAATTTTATCAACGAAGAAAAGTCCAGTTCCTGATGGATTCTCTGCTGCATTTTACAAGACATTTAGAGAAGAACTACTGCCACCACTCTTTAAACTTTTCAATGAAATTGAAAAGGAAGCAATGCTTCCAAATTCACTCCTGGAAGCAAGTATCACTTTGATACCCAGGGAAAGATGCAACTAAAAAAAAAGAACTACCGGCCAAACTCCTTAATGAATATAGATGCAAAAATCCTCAATAAGATACTAGCAAACAGAATACAGAGGATCATCAAGAAGATCATACATCCTAACCAAGTCGGATTTATCCCAGGGATGCAAGGATGGCTTAACATATATAAGTC